TAGGTTGGGGGTGGTTTCCCTAAAAATAAAACGACGCTGCTTTCAATTCCTTGCGGGTTTTTCCAAACTTGAAGGTTTTGGCCTTAAACTTCCCCTTTTAGGTGTCAGCATCAGATGACATCTTTGGGAAGATCGCAGCCAAAACAAGTCTTGCTGTTTCCAAGAAGGCAACTAAGGAAAAATGGGTTGTTTTCTTCCTGATTAAGAATAATCCTAATGGGGATTTGGCTGTGAAGACTCCGTGTTGGAGCAGTAACTTGGAATTGGACACACGAGGACAGGGTGGGTGGCTGGGTAGGGAAGGAATGCGTAGAGGGATGTGTTGCATAGGATGCATCCAAAGGAGGGACAGGACTCCTGGGGTGACTCCCCTGGGTGCAATCCCTTCCAGCACAGGGTCTGAAGTCTCTGCTCTGCCACTGTCAGCAGCAAATTGGGGATTGCTTGAGTGTAGTGAAGCACATGGCTCATCCCATTCAGGAGCTCCTTGCTGAGGGTGACTCCCTTGGCTCTGTGTAGAAAACCAGGGTCCCAGCCCTGCTCGTCTGGTGTTCTTTTTGTCAAGTGGTGGGGACATTTTGCTTTAAGGAGGGGGAAAAACCCACCCACAAAAAAATCCCATGGACCCATTCCCTTCAGAAAATGGGGAAGAGTGACATGTGTGGATGAAAAGAGCATTATTGAAGTTGTCAAGCTGAGCACTCGGGTTAGGGCCTGGGAGAAGAGAAGTTTCCCATGCAAGTCTTGCTCACTTTTTCTTCTTTTTGCATCTTTTTGATCCAGTTTTTGGTGACGAACTGGTATTTCATCCACAAGATGCTGAGCTTATTACAGAGAAGCTTAAGAGTGAGGCTGCTCTCTGGTGGTGTGATGCCTTGGAATTGGAGGACACATAAGGAGTGGGAGAGAGAAAGAAGGGGCCTTGGGGCTAATACGCTTTGACAGTGTGGCAGGGAATTGGCTTTCTCCCCTGTGCCACAGAGCCACATCCCACCGAGTGGATCCAGCTTGCAGTGACACACTCATCTTGTCCATATTGTTTGCAGGACAGGGAAACAGAGCTGTTTGCACACCCAAACCATGTCATCCTAACATCAACCACATCGTATGGATAGCTCCATCCAGTGGGGTTTCATAATCTCTGCCCCAGCTGTGCATTTGATGGCACGGAGCAGCTCTGCCGTGAAGTCATTGTCAACACAGATGTGCTAATATTTGCAGAGCACTCATGTGCTTCTAGTGATCACACTGCAAAACCCTGCGGAGAAATCAACAACTCTTTTTGCAGAACCAGGGTTTGAGACATTAAATGAGATTCTAGATAAGATAATGAATCACTTCTTGCAAACTGAGCACTGTGGGACCTTTGATCCGAATGAGGAATGTGCCCTAAACCAGTAAACACTAAACAGCCCTGAAAATGAAAGCTATACATTAATCACAGGATCCCAGCCTGGTGTGGGTTGGAAGGGACCTTAAAGCTCCTCCAGTTCCAACCCTCTCCCACGAGGGTGTGCTTGTGTTCCCCACCTTTTTGCATTTCTAACATTCAGAGCTCGGGAATGGTTTTTCCCCATGGTCACAGGAGCTCTGCTGGGCAAGGGGGCTTGTTTTGCCATAGGTGAAATATATGTAGCAATCCTCTGTGGCATTTAGAGGTTGGCATTTTGTTGTGACAGTGAACATAATAAAGAAAGACACTGTTCTCTGAGGGATTTTGAGTTACAAGTGTTAGCTTTGCAGCATGATAGGTCTTGAAGCAGCAACACCCTTTCTAAAGAGAAATACACAAGTGGGATTGCCTTAAATCCTATACCTGAACACTCAACTTACTCCCTTTACCTAGTGAAAATAGGTGTTTTGGCTTTAGTCACCTGGATGTTTTCACAAAGCCTTCCTAGAACAGGTAATCTCCTGTTTAGCCCTAAATTGTATTCTTAAGCAATTGAATTCTGAACTTCTCTGGTCAAATGATGGTTCTTCTGAGTAAACCCCATTTGTAGCCTGCTTTGGAAAGTGGGGTGTTTCTCCTGCTGGGCCATATATATATATATAGCAATGTATATACACCACACTACAGTGTCTTGTGCAGCAGCAGTGGGTGGATACTTTTTTATTAACACCTAGAATTTCATTTTACTCTTTCCTTATTTTCTTTTTCTTTGGAATTCATTAACTGTTTAGCTTCAGGTGACTCCTTTTCATATGTCGTTTGTGATAGTAGAAGAATACAGTGTATTAGGTTGTATTAGCATCCAGGTAGGGCTCTTACCCTTTGAACAGTTTAAGGGATTCTGGTTTGAAGCACCCAGACATAACCTGGGATAGAACAGCTATTGAAAATGATCTCTGGGAAAGCTCCTTCAGCATT